CCGCCACGTTATTACCAACAGATGCTAAAGGACTCAGTTACAAGCAAGGCTACACGTCAATTACATTACAAACCGGTGATGCCTTTCTGGTAACTGGGAATTAGTGCAACCTTACAAGTACTAAGAGCTAGAGATGAGTTCTGGTTAGTGCAGTGCAAGCGCAGAGCTAGGAGAGACCGCTTGTCTTCCTTCACTGGAACCTGTAGCTGTGGTCAGGATTTCCGAGTGCTGTTTTGTAGTGATGGCCACTGTGTGGAAAGCAGTGAGGAGAAGATACAACTGTGTGAAATTAAGTCATGGGTACTTGTTTGTGAAAGGACCGAAAAATCCAGAAGGTGGAGGAAAGGGGGGTAAATGCATTTCCTGCCTGTCTCTCCTCTTCCCCTTTGGCACTGAAGTATTGAAGTCGAAGCCACAGTGACTGTGTGCCACATGGCACTTTCAGAATTTGGAGGAGAAACATCTGTGTGTATCTCAGGATAAGTTGTAGTAATTGGAAATACAGAGAACCATCATACCCTTTTCTGTAGAGTGGCCATTGCTGTGGCATGAGTTGTGTCCCTTAGGTTGTCTCCTCATTACTATGAAACATTTTGTTGTCCAAAATCCTCAAAATTGAAGAGACTAGGTAAAGGGATTACAAGTGTCTACATCAGGCTCACAAGTTTCTACCTATCCTATGTCTCTAATAGCCAGGAATTGTTAGCATCTGATGGTCTGAACTACCAATAAAGAAAACTATCAGCCTGCTTTCTTGAGTAGGCATTTTTCTCTTCTTTGGAGTATTTTTCCTGATCTTTCTTTTTCTTTACTTGTGCCTTTTACATTAAGAAACAGCTTCATCTTCGTAATCAGTTGCGTTACTTGCAAAGTTACCGTTTTACCATGAATACCTAGCACTCTTTTGTTTGTGTTAGATCTTGACAAAGTGCGGAAAAATGGATGTGAAATTACCTTTGCTGTAGTGATCATTTGCTGGTATTTTGCCATGTTTATATTGTTGCCTGCTGATGGGGTCATAGAGACAAGTATTTAGAATATTCACCCAACTCGAGCTAAAAGAAGCTGTGAGCTTTTGCAGAACTGGAGTCTTGACATTTATGGATCCTACTGCAATAGTTTCAGAAGCAAACTGGGGTTTGGAGTCAAATCACAAATCAGACAAAAGATGACACTATGATCAGCCAGTGAAGAAAGATAAAAGCAGAATTTGGTTGTGTAATATACCACAGTGGACTAATGCTGTGTGTTAAGGGACCCTTCTCTGGCTCTAAGAAACGATGCACACAACACCACATGTACATGAAATAAAGAACTGTTTCCAGCCACACAAGGGACCAAGCACAGGAGAGGGGTGGAGTTTATAGCTTGTGGCATTAGTCAGAGATTGCAGTAAGCCGCCTGTGTGCAGGGTGGAAGAGAGAAGAAAAACACATATAATTGGGTTTGTGTCATCAAAAGATACTTTTTTGTGCATGTGAAATTTGACTGGCTCAGATGGAGTAGTGTTCAAAACTGAGGTAATCACATTTACCTGTGGAAACTTCCCTGTCTCAGAGATGGAGACCACCAGCTCAGAACAGAAAGAAGCTTCAGGCCCAGAGGATCTGACCATTTTTGATACTGGAGGTGTACTCTGTGCTACAGTTCAGTGCATTTGGCTGTTTAATATCCTCAGGGTTTTTACTTAAAATTTCAGTACTTGTCCTGTATCTTCCAAGAAGCATTAATTGCATTGTGTGGCAGGCTGCAGCAGCAGGCACAGCCATGAGGGTATCTAATTTATTCACTTGTGCCACTTTGGAGACTTGAGAGTTGGTGCTTTAAAGCTTCCAAGATGAAGCACAAGGCACCAAGAGCTTACACAAGCACCAGGGTGGAAGGAGGAGTTCATGGCCTTATGCACTTCACATATTGAGAAAGCACTTGGGCTTTGGTCACAAGTTGGAGAGAGAGGAGAAAAAAAAAATAATTATGTGGGATCACTGGGTGACCGCAATCCCTTTGAGCAGGTGGTAGCCTAGATTTTATGTCCCTTGTCTCTCTGTCATTGACAACTCCACACTTCCTTGCATATGGAGGAGCAGTTTCTAAACTGGCATATAACCAGTGCAGGTTGCTTTAGAATTTCCTTGAAGCATCATAAGACCTGAAGCAGGGTTGTCTCTAGAAGGGTCACATAGTTTTCTTGCCCTATTCGCTGTACCTTGTTCTCTTCGATGCCACATTCAGGTGAAAGTTCTCAGCTTTCATTTTGCCTGATTTGGCTCTGAGATCTGAATCTGTTCTTAGTAAATGCCATTTCAAGGACATTGAAATAAAACAAGTATCTGTGAGAGAAGAGGAAGGCCTGGATGCTCTGAGCAGAAACACAGTAGCTGTTTGGGAGGTTTTCTGCAAGAGCATGCTGGCAAAAATTTTTAACTAGAGCTGGATCTCTACAGTTCTCATTCTGGGAAGAAGCTTGACGTTACATAGCTGTCCTCAGACACATAGTAGCATCTGAGATTTTGATCCTTCTTTTTTTTTTTTTTTTTTTTTTTCCCTTCTCCCGAGTGCTTTGAATCACTGCAGTTGGCCCTGTGTGACAAGGAATTTTCTTGTTGCTTTTGGAAATGCCTCTTTGTGCCAATGATTTCACCTGGCCTCAGGTGATCGCTTCTGAAGCACTGAGCACTGGAGGGTTGGTGTGCGGTAGACTTCTGTTTGTTCCCATCCCTTTAGTCTGCGCCACAGGCTCAGAGCTCAGCCTCTAATTCTCTTTTCCTTTCCTGCCAGACCCTGGATGGGCGCATCATAGTACGTAGCCATGCCCGGGTGTCGTCCCTGACTCTCAAAGAAATTCAGTACACGGATGCCGGAGAATATGTGTGCACAGCCAGCAACACCATTGGGCAGGACTCCCAAGCCATGTACCTTGAAGTGCAGTGTAAGAAGTGGAGGAGGGGGTGGGGAGAGTGTTGACGTGTTTAGAGGGGGGACTGCTTTGATTTCATTTTCCTGTGATGAGACTGAGGCACCTACAGCTAGGGAAATGTAAGTTGTTTAGGTAGAGGGCATGGGAAGCAACTCAGCCTGAAATAATTTCACAGAATCACAGAATGGTAGGAGTTGGAAGGGACCTCGAAAGATCATCTAGTCCAACCCCCCTGCGAAAGCAGGACCACCTAGAGTAGATCACACAGGAACGCGTCCAGGCGGGTTTTGAACGTCTTCATAGAAGGAGACTCCACAGTCTCTCTGGGCAGCCTGTTCCAGGGCTCTGCCACCCTCACAGTGAAAAAGCTTTTCCTTATGTTAATGTGGAAATTTTGTTGGAGACATGTCGCTGTGTGCGTACGTGCAAATGTTTGCTCTAGCTATCTCCAGATGGGATACTGTTTGCACCTTGGGAGGATTATGGGCCATGAATCTGCTGCAGTACCACATGTTGGGTGCGTCAGAGTTCTCCCCCAGGAGAACTTCCTGGTATGCACTTCCCTAAATGCATAGCACGCTGCCTGCCCCCCGTCCCATGCTGCGTTAGGAGCAGCCTTTGGGACTTCAGTAGGTTTGCTCCTCATACTCTTCAGCAAAAGCTACCGTCCATCCCCCCAAATGAGAAGACAGTTCCCATTTTCTATGTTAGAATCCCTTCCCCACATTAAAGTGGACCCCAGCCAAGGGATCCTTAAAGTGAGGCTGACTGGGCTACTTTAGGAGATCTTTCTGTGTCAAATTGCTTTCACAAATGTGTCTGTCTTTCAGATGCCCCCAAGCTTCAGGGCCCTGTGGCTGTTTATACCTGGGAAGGGAATCAAGTGAACATCACCTGTGAGGTATTTGCTTACCCCAGTGCTGTCATCTCCTGGTTCCGGGATGGACAGCTGCTTCCCAGCTCAAACTACAGCAACATCAAGATCTACAACACTCCGTCAGCAAGCTACCTGGAGGTGAGGAAAAGCAAGGAGGGGAGAAGGCATATGCAGCCAGGAAGGCTCAGTGCAGTCAAATAATTTATGTTCCTGACGTTGAAGCAGTTCAGTCTTCTGTCAGGGCACCTTGTTGGTAGACAAGAAGTTGTATGGTGTTTCTGGTGCATAAATGCTAAGAAAATCGGGTTATAGAAGACACAACTTTGACTTTCTGACCACTGCAGTTCCACCCTCTGTGGGCAGTGCTGAGAGTGTTAGCACATGTGCTTTATTGTGGCTTCTCTCCCCAGCAAAATGCAGAGTGCATTGGCCGAGAGGAAAGGGTTTTCTGATCTGAGCATGAGCCTTCATTCCTTCCACAGGTGACACCAGACTCTGAAAATGACTTCGGGAACTATAACTGCACTGCTGTGAACCGCATTGGCCAGGAGTCCTCAGAGTTCATTCTTGTGCAGGCAGGTGAGCAACCCAGGCGGGGAGATAAGGAAATGCATATGCAGCCTTATCTGCGTGTGCAGCTGAGGTGACAGAGTGACCGTTCCTTTCTAGTTTGTGTTGGTGGGGTAGCAGGAGAGCCAGCTTCTACTTTGAAAAAGACTGTTCGTAGATTTTTGCGTTGAGATGGGTTGCAGACAACAAGATCCTCTGTATCTCTGTTTCCTTGTTTCTGAAGGGTCTTGTTCTTTTCTGTGCTTCCGGTACACTTTAACAGAGCTGTGATCTTTGATTTCTGACAGCCGTTGTGTATGTGTGCACATGTGCTTCTCAAAATAAGAAAAATATCCCTAATAGTACAGGTAGTGCAAGATAGAAACCTCAGAGCACTGTGCACCAACCAAAGAGACCTGGTGTCTGACTGCAGGACAGACTGGCAGGGCCTCTGGCGTCCTCTCCGGGCTGCTATAGAGACCGATTTAGGAATGGTCAAGCTGGGTGTTGGATCGCCCTGTGGAAGAGACTGTAGGGACACACAGTAGCATCCAGGATGCTCTTGCTATTCTGCTCTAGTTGTACCCCTTTCGAAGAAGGTACTGTAAGTTTCTGGCCTCTTAAAGGAGAGATAAGATGAAGGTCTCTGCACTGTCTGATTAGCATTCTTAAGCCCCCTCTTAGCAGTCTTCCCCTCCTGAGGGGAGCCTCAGACCTGCCCTTCTCCTCTCCTGTGTGAAGCTATGACAAGGGTGTGTTTGATATTCCCAGTTTTCTGTTTTCTTTGACACCGGAGCTCGTTTCCTACTGTCTTCTGTATCACTGGTTGTTTTCCCTTCCTTCCCCAGATACTCCGTCCTCTCCTTCCATTGACAGAGTGGAGCCCTATTCCAGTACTGCCCAGGTGGAGTTTGATGAGCCTGAAGCTACCGGCGGGGTGCCCATCCTCAAGTACAAAGCAGAGTGGAGGGCACTGGGCGAGGGAGAATGGCACTCGAGGTTGTATGATGCAAAAGAAGGTAGGACGATAAAACAAGATGTTGCCTCTCCCACCTGCATCTCAAAAGACTTTCTTTCCCTTAGGGGAAAGCCGGAATGGAGGGTTCCATAGCTTTGCAGTTTCAGCTCCTATGTTAAGGCCCCAGACATGTTCTTAAACGTTTGCTTTGCAGTGCCGCCTTGAATTTTTGGGTCAAAATGGGGGCCCCGCTGTGCTGATAGCTCTACGTGCGTGACAGGGCGCCAGCCTTCTCCACCTACAGAGTGCGTGTTCATCTCTGTATCCCTTCCGTGTTCGCCCCGTCCTGTCTGAATAATGTGGGGAACCCTGTGCCTGGTATCGAATGAGGTTTCTCTTGCTGACTGGGCAGTGACTTTGTGCTTCCTACAGAAGGCTTTTCGAGCCTTGTCTGTCAGCCCCTTTCGTTAGCCCACAGATCCCCTTGGAACATAAACCCTTCTATTGCAGAAGCAAGTCTAATTCCCATTACCTCCTGTCTTGTTATAGCAATCTATAGGAATACACACTGCTTAAAATGTATCCTTAAGTCTAGTAAACTGAAGGGATTTTGATTTGGGAGCACTGTGAAGGAGAGTTCTATTTCAGAGCCAAATCTTCCACCGCTGGTCCTGGCTGGAACTGAAATTCTTGTAGGTCCCCACTGGGGTGATGTGATCATAGCTAGTCAGGTTAATTTTTCTCATTTCTCCCTTTGTGTCTGTGCAGGAAAAATAGACCTTATTTCTTTCTTTGACACCGCAGCAGGTTCTTTCCATCTTTTACGTTGTGTCTGACCTTCTAGACTGTTAAAGGAGAGAGGTGGGTTTCTGTCCTGCTAAGGGCTTTGCTTTCAGTTGGATCATGCAGCCCAACAGAAGAGCAGTTCTAGGTGGTATGTCTGCTACAGCCAGAGCCCTGCATGACAGTGGTCTTGAAGAACACCATTCAGGGAGCTCCTTGGTACAGGCCAAGGGCTAATGCCCTCTGGTGTCTACGACGAACTCCGCTACATCCCCTCTAGAGAGGCTGAGGCCATACACCTCTAATCAGCTGGTTGATGCAGAGGTGGTAGCTCTGACCTTTCTCTCTGCACTGTTTAGTGAGGCTGGGCCCAGAAGAGGTCTCTGTTACATGGGGTAGGCATGGCAAAAGTATATGATAGAAACATGGCATTTATTGTTGTTTTAAAACCTGACCCTTTCTTTGCTTTTCCTCCCTTGTTTCTGCAACAGCAAATGTGGAGGGCATGATCACTATCACTGGCCTGAAACCTGAAACAACGTACTCTGTGAGACTGTCTGCAGTCAATGGCAAAGGCGTGGGTGAGATTAGCCTGCCATCAGACTTCAAGACACAGCCAGTTCGTAAGTAAAACTGACACCTCCCTCTGCTTCTCTGGTTCTCTTTCCTTGCATCTTTCCAGGGAATCTCTGCCATGCATGGATGACACCTTCTTCTCTTGCAGACCTTGCTGCACCCTTTGTTTTTTGTTGTGCTTTTTGATCGTAGTGAATTTCATTACTAATTAAAAATGTTCTTTGAAGGTAGGAGGCAGAGGAACTGTTTTATTTGCACTGGTTTTTGCCACGGGTTACTCATATAAACTTTGTATTGTCGAAGAGAAGGGGCTATGCAATGGAGAGTTTTAATAAGAAAAAGCAGCAAGTTGAGAAGGGCATTGGTCATAGAGAGTGTAACGTCATTGTCTCAAGGCAGGCTTTTTTGCAAATTGGAAATTAAGAGGTTTGACATAGGACTGGCCGTGAACTGTGCAGGGAGGGGGATTTCTCTTTTCTGCAAATTGCTGCTTTAAGATGCCCATGCAGCATGTAAGGTGATTTCTACAGCCTCTTGTCTGCTTTACTTAGGTAATCTTCTACTCCAATGGCAGGTTGCTCTGCTGTGGCCTAACACTTTCCCTCCTGTTTCAACTAGGAGGCAAGAATTAAAAATGAGAGAGTTATTCAAGACAGGAAGGAGAGAAAGAGGAAGGAAAGGTGTAGAGCGGGTAGGGGAGAAGTGACAAAAGCAGGCTAGGAGAGAGGTGGTCTCTTATCCTTGTACACATCCAAGTATTAGGATCTGTATTCAACCGCCCACAATCCCTGCGGTGGTTCTTTCCCATCCCCTTTGCATTTAGATCTACAGCCTATTCTTCTTCCCACTGTTGCACCCAGACCTATTTCATAGCTCTTTTGAAACCGCTGTGCAGGACCGTCTTCTGAATTCAGAGCTAGCAATATTCTTAGCCCATGTGTGTGCATGCTTTGAGGCCCTGTGAGCTGTGCATGGTCTTGATTTTGTCCACCAACGTCGGCCTCGCTAGAATTGCTGAGCAGTGTGGGACAGTACACATGCCTTGTTGCTCGGAAATCCCAGGCCCTGTGCAGTAAGCCAGCCCTCACATTGATGTCTAGTCTGTAGCGATAACTCCTGTAACCTACTCCACTCCCTGGGGTTGGATTTGAGACAGCTGTTGGTATTTTGATTTTCCAGCTCCATGTTCTCTATCTCCTCATCTCACCTCTTCTACATTTTTTTTTTTTTTTTTTTGTTGTTGTGTCTATCTCTGTCTTTTCTTTTTGTCTGTGTTCCATCCATGGAAAAACTGCAGGCATCCCTCACTCACGTAAGTGCCTCTCTGCATTTCTTTCACTCTCTTTTTGCATTCCTAGAGCGTTCCTCTAACATACATAATATAGCTTTTAGTCTAATACCTTTTTCATCTCAGGGTCTTTAGAAATGAAGTTACCTGGTACTGTCCTTTTTCTAACAAGACTGACTCTAGAATAGTCATCCTACTGTGGGTAATACTGCTCTTTTTAGAACAGAATTGGGGATTAGCATCTTTGTCTTTATTGTAAAGCATGCGATTCAAATATTTAACTTGGTGATTGTCTAACAATAATAGCTTGTTGTCTATGGAGTGGAGTAGTGGAAGGCTTCATGTTTATGAATTGATTAAAAATTTTCAAATTTTAATGAAATGCAGATAATTCGGGAGAGAAAAACCCAACTGTTCAGTCAAATTAAGAGCCAACCAAAAACTTCAGAATTTTGCATATCTTCACAACTTTGAAAGCAAAAACTTCAAGAAAGAAATACACGTTTTTTGCCTTTTCTGACTAATACTTTTTACCATCAGTAGTCTTTGGACAGTCTTCCAGCACTTGTGTAGATTGTATGCTCAAATAAATAAACCTCATACTAAATAAAAAAAATGCATGTTTCCCCCTTCCCAATGCAAAATGTGTTAGTGAGGTTTGATGGCTATGTTTTCATTGTGGTTGGGTTCAGTAAAACATTGTATGCTGCATAGCTTTGTGCCTTTCAAATCAGAGTTAATCAATGGCATCTAAAAGAAATGTCTTTATCTAAGTGAGCATTGCTCTGTTATTGAAGTATGTGTCCTTATGGTGAACTGTTATTCCCAAGACTGCATGGGCAAGCTTTATGAAGCTGCTGTCACATGCTTTGAGATTTCTGAAGCTGAAGTAAACAAAGGAAAGGATGGGGGGTTTTAATGCTAGTTAGAGGATTTGAATCATGCTTGTGCTGTTTGTCCTTAAAGATTGTGTTACACAAAAGTTTGGACTTAGTGGACCACTAACAGGATGAATGGATTGGTAGTCAAGCTGGATAAATGAATGGACAGGTGGATAGACAGAATTGCAAATTGCAGTAGTTACAAAGAGTCAGCTGGTAGGCATGCTTCCAGAACGTATGTGCAGTCTGTGGCCTAAAATTGTTTGGAGCCTGTTAATTTCAGTAGAAGTAATATATCCCTTATGTGAAGTTAATTGTGGTTGGTATTATAACTATCAGACAATGATTTGGTAGGCCCTTCTGAATTGGAAAGGGAGGTGAGGGCTTAGGTATTCAGTCTCTGTGCAGATCAGTACCGCAGGAAAAGGGAAAAGATCCAATTAAGAAGAGAGGAAAAAGAACATTAAAAGCTTTGTTTCAGCCACATCGACAGAACTGTCTGCCAAGCCTCGTGTTCATCACTTGGGGACAGGTATGTGGCTTTGAAGAACATTAAATCATGCTTGTAGTAGAGGTTTTTGCCTTTTTTTTTTTTTTTTAATTTATCTGGCAATCAGCTGTCAATCAGTCTGTAGTCCCTAACTGCTCGCCTGTAAGCTAAGTTCCATTTCTTTTTTCTTTCTTTGTGGGCTATCACATTTTTTAATTTACCAATTAAATTCTGCTGATGCTCTTTCAAGCACTTTTATGCCTTGCAGCTGCGATCCTTCTGAGCATTTGGTTCTCCAATTCTTTCTCTGCTCTCTGGGATTCTCGAAGCCCATCTCAGATCATGAACTGGGTTGCAGCAATGGTGAAGAGATTGTTGGCACAACAGAAATGATTTTTTCATCTGTGCCGAAATTCCAGTCACACACTATTACCTGTTTGTGGGCAAAGTCAAAATCGGGAAAAAGTTGAGTGTCCCCTAGTCTGGTGTGATTTGAAGATCACAGAAATGTTTCAGAAATTTTACAGGAAAGACTAGAAAACTGTGTTTTGACACCAGCCGAAGCTGTAATTCCAGACTAGCCAAAGCAATGAGTTTTTGTTGCCCTATTATTTAAAGTTTCTACTTGATTGTAAAAACTGACAACATTTCGTTAATGTCTGCTGGGATATGTTCATAGTTATTTTGATTTTTAAATTTTCCTTGATTAAGCAGAAACTAGTTTGTTTCAGAGGTGCGTGAAGGCCCAAGTAGTTAGTGATAATGATGTACTACACTAGCACAGGTGAGAACTGTGGAGTTGGGAGGATATCTGTCTAACTTGACCTGGGTTTGTATTTTCATCCCAACAATTTGCTGGTTTTCTGCATTTCCTTATAATTCTGAAGACAAAGGCTGCAACAGACCTTGTGAACGGTTTCTTTTTGAGCCCCAGCTGTTTCTTGCTGTTGTGCAGGTGGGACCCAGATATGTGTTAAACCATGAGACTGTGTGTATGGTGTTTGGTTTTGATATCAAAATAAACCCCAAACAACCACAAACCAAAAAAACCCCAAGAAAACGACACTGAAATAATCCTCAAATTCCACCAGGTCCTAAGCTGGCAATAGGGTAGTCAGCAATGGCCTTCACCAAAACAGTGGTTATGTAGGGTGTGTTTTGCTGCCGTACGCACAGTGCGGGCCAGCATCTCTGCTGGCCGTACACGGTGTCGGTTTGAGCTCCTGGGAATGCTGGGGAACAGTGGTGTGTGTTCAGCAATGCTGTGTTACTAGAAATCCTCACAGAGGATCCAAAACGCAGGTCCGGCAGAGTGCGTTTGCTTTGCTTGAGCTCTACCTGTAGAGAGGCTGATCTGACAAAATCTTACCGATTTGTTTTTTAGTTTTCCATCTTTTGGCAATGCTTACAGGAATCAACTCCCCTCCTCACCTTCCTTTCTCTTTCTTTAGCAAGTACTGCTGCACCCACCTCCAGTTTAGCAGAGAGTGAGTATGGTAGAAGAGGCTGTTGTCTTTGTTCCACTTTGCTCTGCATGCGTCTCCTCACCGAGTGTGGTGCAGTCTGCCTAACATTCTTGAGTGTTTTCCTTCTTTTCTCTCTCTCTCTCAATTTTTTTTTTCCTTTCCCCGAGTGAAAACTGAATCTTCAGGTAGAGGAACTACAGATAAGCATGTTTGCTTTCCAGGACAGAAAAGCTACAGAGTTCCCGCGTATGCTAGACTCATGGAAGGAGAGAGATCAAGAGAAAGATGCAGAGTGAACCCTGCCCATGTGAAAGCTGGTTGTTGTCGCTGGCCTTTGCTGTTAAGATTTCTGATCAGTTTGTGTTCCATTCTTGGGGACATCTTATGGGATATGCTTAGCTTTTGTAGTGTGAAACTAAATTTCCTGAAATCAGCTTAGCGCAGCAAATAGAGTCGAGTTTCTCAGCTAAACAGAGTGGAAGATACTCAAATGATCAGCAGGGAATGCCTTGTGCTTACCTAAGCCTGTTACTAAGACACCTTCTGGAGCTGTGGAAGAAAACTCATTTCTTCATATCCTGCTTCAATCATTTTTTATAAATCTGCATAATCAGATTTAGGCTGCAAACTGCACAAGGGTCTATCCTGTTCTCCCCTCACACCAGCAGCACTGACCTAACCATGGGTGGAAAAGGAATTCGCAGAATTATAGGACATCTTGAGTTGGAAAGGAGCGTAAGGATCATGGAGTCCAACTCCCTACTCCTCGCAGGACTACCTAAAACTAAACCACATGACTAAGAGGTTGTGACTGACCACCCGCTCCGTGAAGAACCTCCTAATGTCCAATCTGAACTTCCCCTGCTGCAGCTTTGTAACATTTCCTTGTGTCCTATCACTGGTCACCAGAGAGAGGAAATCG